CTCCCCCCCGCTGGATACGGTCGGGAACGTTTGCTCAGCGCGTCGCCGTGGCGGCCAAAGGAATCCCGCTGTGCCTTCCGAGTGGATGGCGTGTCGCTCTCCTTCGCGGGGTGGGAGGCTCGGGAAGGCTCGGGACGTGGACGCCTGCGAACTGGGAAAAGGATAGCGTGTCGCGCCGAAACTTGGTGGGCCAGGACCAGCGGGGCGACACGCGATCGAAAAGTTCGAGGCCGTAGGCATGGAGGGCACGAGGAAGGAGGAGGGAGGGAGGGGGTCATTCTCATCCTCCTCATCTGTTCTTGCATGGCGCGGGCATTGATCATGTGACCGCTGCGTCTGTGGAGAAAACCATGTATGGCCAGACTTAGACGACATTGCTTACACTTTAAACCTTAGTGGGCCAGATGGTGGAAATGAAGCAACTAGACGATGGGCAAGCGTAGTCAGTCCACACGGGCATGGAGTATGAGCTCTCTTGGTCGAATCCTCTTCCGCCTCCTCCTTCTCCTCCTCTTCCACCTCCTCCTCCTCCTCCCCATCGCCTGCGTTCCCTCCTCAAGCACGCAGCGGTGGAGGCGTTTCCCGCAACCCCCATCTACGACATGCAAAGTTTCTTCTGGGAGCTTAGCACTTTCGCCAAAGGGGGGAGGCAAGGCGGAGGACTTGCAAATTGCCACGCAGCCGCAATTTCGGGAACAACCACCATCGCCTTAATCCCATAGAAACGTTTCCCGAAATTGCTGGGGCGCGCGGGGGCCGTACGCGACAGCAAATCCAGGACGCATCCGCGGAATCAACAAACCAACACACCAATTCCTCTCGCGCACGGCCCCCGCGCGCACTAGTAATTTCGGGAAATGCACCCGTGGCGCTACGCCGTAGGTTTTCATGCCGCGGAAGCGTTTCCCGAAAGTGCTGCCGATCGCGGCCCCACGCACGGGCAACTTCGGGAAAAACCTCCACGATGCAACATCGAAAATTTTCAATCCACGGAAACGGTTCCCGCAATTCCTGATGATTACGGACCCCTCGCGCCAAGGGCTTCGGGAAACACATGCGCGGCGCTACTACAGAGGTTCTGAAGCTGCGGAAGCCTTCCCCGAACTTGCTGAGGCGCACGTGTGTGAATGAGGCCATGGTGGACTTCCCGAGAGCGCTGCTTGGAGCTAGTTTCGGGAAACGCATCCGTTGTATTAAACTATGTTAGGTAACGTGGGCCCAAAACGACAAGATCTTGCACTGTGGATGTGAAAGTTAGGTGGTGCAACAATGTGGTGGAAGCTATGCTGTGGAAATTATGTCGCGCAGCCTACGTGGTGCAAGCTCTGTGGTGCAGTCTACGTGATGCAAACTTCGCGGCGCAAGCCATGTAGCGCAAGCTCGTGTGCAAACAAAAAGTTGCGCAAGCTATGTGGTGCAATCAACCTTGCAACACTTGAAATCGTCAAGCCCACTGCTCGCGCAATCGTCCCAGCCTCCCACAAACGCAACTTGTTTTGTACAACCCATGCGGCCGCGACTGCGACGACTATCTGGCACTGGATGGCGCATCTCTGCAGCTACACTAGCGCGCGCAAGCTCGCGCGCATAACGACCAGCTGGTTTGGCACAACCGATGCGGCCGCGAAGGTGCTTACCGATGGGAACTTCCCAGCAGACGACGGCAATGGTGATGACAGTAACGATGGTGGCGACGAGGACAGCGACAAGGCCAATGACGGCGCCGATAACGGTGACGACGGTGACAATGTTGATGTCCATGTGTCGGCGATGACGGTGATTGACTGATGGCGGCTGCAATGGCGGCGATTGACGATGACGATGACGGCGGTGATGCGGTGGCGCTGATGGGGGTGGTGGTGAAGAAGAGCGCGCGCGCGCGGAAATGCAAGGAACCTGGCATAGTGTTCGCTGAATGCACGTGGTTCTTCATACGTTTTGAAACGCTGAAGGTTGACCCTCTCCGAAGACCAATCAATAGTTTTGGAAGGATGTCGACGCGCGCGCCCGCGTGGCGGCGCGCGCGCGGCCCGCATGGTATTAGACGATATGGATCCGTGCACTGGACGCATGCTGGATCAACGCGGATGCACCGGGCGGCGAGATGAGAATGCAGAATATGGACGATATTGTTTCTCGCGCATGGCTCGGTTCTCCTAGGAATTCAGCAAATGCGCGCGGGCGAACAATCCGCGCGATTCTTGATGCAAGAGACCCAGGGACTCCTGCTGTGTTGCCCGCGGGCAACGCTTGCCCTTACAGGGTTCTCACTTGTTTGTGATCAGGAACTGGGCCAGCGGATCGATCTGTCATCTATGGTGTCGCCGTCGCCGCCCCGTCGCCATCCGTCGTCTGGGCCTGCGGGTCAATCTAGCTGCTATGTTGTCTCCGTCGCCACCCCGTCGCCGCCTCGTCGCCACCCGTCGTGTGGGCGTTGCCGGAGTCTGCTTGGAGACTGCACAATGCACAGCAGAAACTAAGTATTCTCCAGCCGAAAAAGAAATCAGGATCTAGAATATACCTCCCCCCTCCCCCCAGGTGCATCGCCTCCCCCGGGGATTGTTCAGTGTACGTGCGATTCTGCCCCAACGTTAATTTTGAACCAACGAATTCATAGCATCCTAGCCAAGCCCCTAATCCCCCGCCCCCCACGCCTGGTCGCAGTCAACGAATACGATGCGCGCGCGTTCGTTTAGCAAAATCCATAGACGTTCAAGAATCCATTGCAAAAACGGCAAAGTACACACGCGCGCGGCGTCGCGCGCGAATACAGGAATCATTAAACCATCTTCGGCTTCGCGTGGAATTCAAAATCTAGGTTCCCAGAACACATAAATCAAACAACAAGAACGGCGTTGCAACATGAATATTCAAAACAAAATGCGCGCGCGATCTTGTGAATTGTTTTGAAAGCCATAGGTGTTGCATCATTTTCGTCAAATCAAACCATGCGGGCATCCCGCGCGCGCATGTCCAAATCAGTCGAGCGCCCTTGCGAGCTTGCTGGGTGGGTGAGGGGTGGGGTGGGGTGGGTGGGTAAGGTGCGGGATCGCGTACTATTGACGCTACCTGCATGCAGGTTTGCATATGTGTGTACACATATAGTGATCCATTGTGCCTGTGTACATATACATGCATCTGTATGCACACGTAGATCTATAGCATTAGTACGTAAGATACCCAGGCGACGGAACGTCACAAGGGAGGAATAAGGGATGGCCGATGACACGAAGGGTGATGAAGAGGACGGCGAGGAAGACGAGGAGGAAAAGGAAGAAAACGAAGAGAGGAGGGGGAGGAGAGAAGAGGGAGAGAGAGAGAGAGAGAGAGAGAGAAAAAAAAAAAAGAGGAGGAGAAAGAGGAGGCTCTGCGGGTCGGCCCCATGGCGGGCGAACGCCGCCCGAATGCTCCCAAACCTCCGAAGGCCCCGGGGGGGTATCCCTTCCCAGGCCCGATCGGGCCACGAGCAGCTCCAGGAGACGGGGGAAGTGCCCACAACCAGGCCCTGCGCGGCCAGAAAGTAGTGCAGAAACGCACGTGGGGAATAGTGCCAGCCCGTTGCTTCGGAGGACGGCTGCGACGCATCCCACGAAGTGGCCTCGTGAAGCTACCAATGACACCTCAACGGCCCTAGATGGCCTGAAAGAAACCCTCAAACGGCCGAAGACGGATCCTGGAGAGACCCAAGACAACACGAGGCCTTGCAAGATCGCACCAAAGATGCTCCAGGACGGCACGAACATCGAACCAGGCGGCTCCAAAATAGTTCATTTGGGTCTCGTCGGGGCTGCTCGGGCATCATCCGTCCCCAGGAAGGCTGCGTCAGGCAGCGCGAGACCTTACGAGGATCGCTCCAAGAGGGCTCGATGACGAGACGACGACCTGCTCACACGGCCCCAAACTGGCTCCACTGAGCTTCTTCGGGACTGCTGGACAGAACATGACAGAACTCGTGGGACTGCTGGGCAGAGCTACGTCGCCCCAGATGGCTCGGATGACAGGATGAAAACATGGGGTTGGATAAATATGGTACGTAGCGGTGCATAGCTGTTAGGCTCATACTGGCAATGCGGACGAGGCTGGTGGTAGCGTGGTAACAACGTTTGACAATTAGTGGCGGAGTGGAGGTGGGCGTGGCGACATCGCAACGCGGAACGCAGTGGTAGTCGCGGGTGTGACGCCTACTCCGAAGCGGCTATCGCTACTTCTGCCAGCCTCAGCAACAATTGACAACCACCAGTTTCGCCATAAATGGCATGGAAACACAAACCTGTCGATAAGAGAATCGGGACATGCGCATCGTAGCCAATTGTCGACGATCACATACGTTGGAAGCAATGACACGCTTGTGAATTATGCGGGATATCTTCGAACATTATCTTCTCCGAGCTCTGGTATGTTTGCGTTCGGCGAGCGCTGTGCTCCTCCTCCTCCTCCTCTTCCTCCTCCTCCTCCTTCTCCTCCTCCTGCTCCTACTCCATCCTTCCCTCCCTCCTCCTCCTCATCCTGCTCCTCCTCCTCTTCCTCCTCCTCCTCCTCCCTCCTCCTCCTCCTCCTCCTCCTCCTCCTCCTCCTCCTCCTCCTCCCCCCCTCCTCCTCCTCCTCCTCCTCCTCCTCCTCCTGCTCCTCCTCCTCCTCCTCCGCCTCCTCTTCTCCTCTTCGTCCTCCGCCTCCTCCTCCTCCTCCAGCATTATTTTTCCTTATACATAGCTTCTCCCTGTCGCACCCCGAGGCAAGTTTGTAAGGAGGGCTGGGCGTTTCGCCTGAGACTTCCTCACCATTTATGACCCTGAAGCATTGGCAACAGATTCACATATGGAGGGCGGGTGGCTTTCAAACTGTGGCTCTCGCCATAGCGCCGCGCACATTCTTTTAAACATTCGCAAGAGTTTCACTGATTGAAGGCGGGGGGGTCAAAATGTGGCTCTCGCCATAGCGCCGCGCACATTCGTTTGAAACAATTGCAAGAGTTTCACGGGTTGAGGGCGGGTTAATTTCAA